AGCTGTACGTTCATGATCTGCATAATAAATAGTTCACAGTTGTTACAGTATCCAGAAAGCAACTGAACATTTTTAAAGACCTCTGTGCCTTTGATCAAAGTCACTCTTGGAATATGGCGTGTTTGTGTACTCTGTTTTAAAAAACATCATCCACAGCCTGCACTAAAACAGACAGATGAGTTTGAGCAAATCAACAGTGCTGGTTGAATAGAACTGTGTGATATATGTTGCAAAGTACCAGTGTATTTTTGTTTATTGTTATATGGGTAAAGGCCCAATAAATGTGAGAATTCAACAAGTTTCACAGCCAATGATGAAACATTACTCTGTCTGGCAGTTGCATTTTTAAACATGGATAGCTCATTTTCTGAGAATAGAGTGTCTGCATCATTGTCGCCAAGTTGTTCAATAATTGCACATGCTAGACATTTAATCCATGATGTTGCCTTAGATCCAGGACTTTGTTTGAAATGAAGAGAGAGAAGCTCTGTATTGTTGGTCATTGACAGCAACATCATCATAACTGTTGGCAGAGATATTTTATCTCCAAAGTTGTTGATAATGAATTCACTAAAGTCTTGAAAGCCTATGTCTGGGAAAGGAGTAGACTGTGGGCTTGCTAAGGCATGTGGAATCAAGAATTCCATCCACAAAAGCAGAGATAACTGAGAACTAAATGCAGTGCAAGCAATCATAAAGACCAAACTACTCAAGTTGCCAGCAAGACCATCCAGATAATAGCAAAGAACAAGCAGGACCAAAAGATTCAAACTACTGTACAAAAGAAATTCATGAGATATAACCAGATGATAGTACAAATATTTGAGCTGTCAAAGTTAGCATACTTACTCAAGTGGCCACCTTCTTAGCAGATCCAGCAGGCTTCTTCAAGGTAGACGATTTCTTTGATGTGCCTGCAGATGCCTCCTTTGCTGCACCTTTCTTCAGCTTGATCAATGATCCTCCATTCTGCACCCATGCAAGCAACTCTGCAAAATGATACGCCTTCATCTTCACCCCAAACAACTCTTCAGTCTCCATACTGTCCTCATCATTACTCAACCATTTTACCATTTCTGGATACTCTGTGATGTGAGGAAAAATCTTGGTCCAATAATCATGCCAGGTCGATTTGCTGATGAAGAGGTTCGGAATCTCTCTACCGACAGGCAGTCTAAGCTCTGCAGGCCAAGTTCCATCCTTCTGCATCTTCTTGAATTTCTTCTCAGCCTCAAGAAGAGCAAGATAGCGAGTGTAATGCTCCTGAAGTTTAAGTGCATTACCAGTGCGATGCAAAGCCACTGGAATCTCAAGAGCGTCAGCCATTGCAGTCTGCTCTTGGGTAAAGTGAACCCAAACACCCTGAGGTGGGCCAGCGACAACTGGAACAGATTGGCTAGTAGTAGCAGCAGCAGGTTGGCTAGTAGTAGCAGCAGCAGCAACAGGAAGACCAGGACTAGCAGCTGAGGCAACAACAATAGTAGATGAGAGACTCAGTAAAGTGAAGTTGCTCTGTGGTATCATTGA